TTCTTGATCATATTCTAAATTTCCAAGTTGTGGCCATTCTTCAGGAAATGATTCGATCCATCTGATTAAAAAAACAAGGTAAGAAAGTGATGGATATAACAATCACTTTAAATATTTTTGGGAATTACTTGCTTGATATTGTTATAATCTTTTTTCTCAACCCTAATGTGCCCTTCTAGAGCATCTTTACATTTTTGATCATAGATAAATTGAAGTTGTTCGAGTATTTGACGTATTGATTGACGATTGAATATTTGCACATGATGTTTTCTATTGCTCTGATTCACTTAAAATAAAAGTATTAATTAATTAACGCGTCAAATTTAAAGAAATTCCATACAATTTGTTATTTCTTTTATTCACATTTGCTTAAAACAGTGTCAACAATAGCCAATGGAATTTGTTCTTCCGTTGGTGATTCGAATTCGAATTCTTGCTCAAGCAAACGAATTTGTGACTCTATAAATGCGTGCCTTTGATTATAATAATTTTCCATTCGTGTTGTTAAATCAAAAAAAAAACGCGTTGAAAATAAGTTTGATCATCAAATTTAATATGATTGGTTGATATATATATGCATATATCGATATTGTATTATTTTTCTCTAATTAAAAAGTTATACGTATTTTAAAATCATATTTTTCATATTAGCATTTAAGATTTAATCAGATTTATTTATTCCTTGAGTTTATTTCTTAATAATTTTTTGAAATGATACGATACAGTACGAAAATACATATATATAAAGATAATTTCGTACTAAAATTTAAAGATCAATACAGTATGAACTATGTATGTACCGTAAATACCAAATCGCTACGTAACCACCAATTGGAGCACAGTTACGGATAATTCGACCTTCTGATCTCATTTCATTTTGACACATGTAAACAGTCGAATTTCTTTACAATGAACTTTTTTATAAAGAGCTCACTGTATAATAAACTTTTTTAATTAACAAATTTATTATAGAGCCGGTATAGGAACGTATTAAATTATTTCTACAATGAACTTTTAAAATTTTTTACTGTAAGAATTTCAGTTCATTACAATTTTTTTTCTTTTTGCTATTTATACAGTATTTCAACAAAAAATAAAGGTAGTAACATATATAAAAATACAAGAAAACACAATTACAAATCACTCACTATAATGAAGTTCCCAGGTTAGGAAAAAATCCACACTATAACTTATATCAAGAAAATAATAAACATATTTTACTAGATACGATTGAAATTTAATAATTTCGCAATTCAAATCTCTTCATTATCAAAAGTTTACTGTAAACAAGTAAGCTGTATTTTTGACAGACTGGTTTATTTCGTTATCTAACTTGTGAGTATATTTTAGAACTTTAATATTTTATAGCCTCGTTCGAATTATTTTATCTGTGCTAATTTGGTTCATGAATACAGATTTGCATATGAATCCAATTACAATCGAAGCTTATGATAACGAACTTCTTTATAATGAACCCTGGACATAACGAACATGAAATTTTATATTAAATTGAGTAGATTTTTTTCGTGTATCTGATGATTTGATATAATTGTTATAATTCAAGTTTTACAATTTATTTTATTGAAAAAAATTTTTGAAATAAAATTTCTGGTAAATATTATAACTTTTAAATTCGCTACTTTATTATTACACAAATTAAAAAACGAATATAACAGAAACTTATTGTATTAATTACCCTTATAAAAAACTACTGAACCCGTTAAAAAAAAAGTAAATTATTATTTTTCTTTTAAATCTTTGATATAACATTAATTTAATTTTATCTGTACACTTTATTGGGGTATAGAACTTTTATATAAACTTCTATCGTACATAAAATATATAGTTTTATGGGTTGTGTACACTTCATAATAAAATTGATTTGTACACTTATATGAGTTTTAAAGATAAAGTCATATATATAAAATATTAGTATTTGCTCAGAGT